TCCATGTCGTCATATCGGTCATTTGAAACTGTTGAATTCATTGGTTTCGGTCAGCTTTCCATTTCAACTTCCCCTCACCGTCTTTGTTGATTTGATTTTATTTTTCTCATACGTAGAACATTAACATACTTCCAAAACATCAGACCTGTCCAAATTTACACTACAGAAGTATCACTCCCTTCATCCCTCCCACCTCTTTCCCCTCACTTTTTGTAAGTAATCAGTTTTGTCTCCTGGTCTACCCTTTGTATGTGTATGTGTGTTTGAAAGATACGCCAATATGCTTTCTTACTTCTCCTTTCTTACGCATACTAAATATGCACTTTTGCATTTTGCTTTTTCACTTAACATATCCTAGAAGTGACCCCGTAACAGTTCATGGAGTCTAGAGAGCTCTTTGTCTTGGCTTTTCTCCAGTAATCACCTGCCTGGTGCTCCACTATGTATGTCAGTGCCCTCGCTTGTTCAGCCAGTCTCCTGTGGGGTTTTGGGAAATGATAAATTCCTGGAAGTAAGATTACTGGGTTAAAAGAGAAATAAAATGCATATATGGTTTTATTAGATGTTACCAGTTTCTCCCATAGGGATTGAATCTTTTTTAATTCCCACCAGCACTGTATGCAAGTGCCTCTTGCCACACAGAATGTATTTTCACCAATAGGATGAATTTTCAAAACTTTTGAAATTTTGCCATCTAATGGATTAAGTTTTCCAGTAATACATCGGACAGTGTTTTACTGCTGTTCATAAGGTTCTTTAAGAAGCGGATAGCCCCTTCCTTCTTCCGAGTCTGTCTTAGACTGGAAGCTCCACTGAAGCCTGTCCACCGTGGGTGACCCTGCTGGTGTCTGAAATACCAGTGGCATAGCTTCCAGCCTCACAGCAACACACCAGCCACCACAGTACGACAGACTGGCAGGCAAGTGGTTTACTTGTGTTTTATTGACTATGCGAAGGCATTCGACTGTGTGGATCATAACAAATTGTGCATAATATTGAGAATGGGAATTCCAGAACACTGATGTGCTCATAAGGAACCTGTACATGGACCAGGAGGCTGTCATTCAAATAGGACAGGAGATACTGCTTGATTTAAAATCAGGGAGGGAGTACGTCAGGGTTGTATCTTTCGCCACACTTACTCAATCTGTGTACTGAGCAAATAATCCAAGAAGCTGGACTATATGAAGAAGAACGTGGCATCAGGATTGGAGGAAGATTCACGGACAACCTGCGATATTCAGATGACACAACCTTGCTTGCTGAAAGTGAAGATGACTTGAAGCACTTACTGATGAATATTAAAGGCTGCGGTCTGCAGGATGGATTTCACCTCAACATAAAGAAAACAAAAACCCTCACATCTGAACCAGTAAGCAGCATCATGATAAATGGAGAAAAGGTTGAAATTGGTAAGGATTTCCTGTTGCTTGGATCCACAGTCAACACCCATGGAAGCATCAGTCAGGAAATTGGATGTCCTGTTGCACTCCACTGCGAAAGACCTCTTCCAAGTGCTGAAGAGCAAAGATGTCTCCTTGAAGACTAAGGTGGCCCTCATCCAAGCTGTTGTGTTTTCAGTCGCCTCGTGTGCATGTGAAAGCTGGACAGTGCATAAGGAGGACTGAAGAAGAGTTAATGCTTTTGAGTTGTGGTGTTGGCGAAGATTACTGAAAGTACCATAGACTATCAGAAGAACTAACAGGTCTGTCCTAGAAGTGCAGCCAGAATGCTCCTTGAAAACGGGAATGGCCAGACTTTGTCTCACCACTTTGGTCTGGTTGTCAGAAGGGACCATTCCCTGGAGAAGGATCTCATGCTTGGTTGAAGTGGAGGATCAGCGAAAAAGTGTTAAGACTCAACGAGATGGATTGAAACAGTGGCTACAACAGTGGGCTCAGGTATAGCACTGATTGTGAGAGTGGCGCAGGTCCGGGCAGTGTTCTGTTCTGTTGTACACAGGGTCACTGTGAGTTGGACCTACTCGACAGCACCTAACAACAACAACAACAGTGGAATAAGAGGTGGTATACAGTTGCAGTTTTCTTTTTTGCCTTTCCTGTGAGAGTGATGTCATTTTTATATCTTTATGTGTATGTGCACTGTTTCATTTGACTGTTTTTAACTCAATTTTTTAAAAAATTTGTCCTTTTTCGGTGATATGTTGCAGATTTTTTTTTCCCAGTTCATTGTTTTCTTTACTTTGCTTATGGTATTTTCTTGCCATCAGATTTTTTTTTAATTTTATGTAAACGAATTTATTAATCTTTTCTTACACCTGGAGTTTGAGTCATAGAAATCCTTCTTGTACCTTCAGAGAAGAAAATAAAAAATTGTATTATCTTGTAGTAGCTTCATTCATATAGTTCAATTTTTTTATGTATGGATCTCTGATCTATTTGTGGTTCATTTTTATATATGATGTGAGGAATGGATCTAATTTTATACTTAAATGTCTTTCCAGCTGTCCTAACAACAGTTACTTATTTAAGACTATCTTTGAGAGATTTGAGACTCCATGTTTATCGTATACTCAAATTCATTATGCAGTTAGTTTATTTCTGGACGTTCTGTTCTATTTTGTTGTCTTTCTTGTGTCTACATGGTCCTGTACCATATTGCTTTAAATGGAAGCTTTGTTTTGAAATCGTGTAGGGCTAGACCCACATCATAGTTTTCTCTTGAACTTGAATATCAACTTGCCTGGTTGCAATAAACAGCACTTTCTTATTTTTTAGTATGTTGGGCCCTCTCTAAATTCAGATCTTCTGGTCTTTTTCTAGTTCCTGGAAAGCTTTCTTGGGTTATGTTGTTGTTGTTGTTGTTGTTGTTGTTGTTGGTATGTGCCATCGAGTCAAACCGACTCATAGCAACCCCTCCTTG